ACGTGGAGCTGATGTTTACTTATGGGTTAGGTAGTTTAAGTCTAAGATAGAATCTTATCTTATATTATTTATTCTCCTATCCCATGAAGTTTACAAGATGGATGGTTGGTTTCTTATCTAGTTTTCAAGATAGAATACGTGTAACTGGTGGAAGTCGTCTATAAATAAACCTTAGCTACCGTGAAGTTTTATATTTCGGTGTCTCCATATTCCTCCTTGCGTCTTCTCTCTTTTGTTGCCACCGTGAAGTTTTGCATTTCGGTGTCTCCATATTTCTCTTTGCGTCTTCTCTTTTTGTCGCTACCGTGAAGTTTTGCATTCAAGTGTCTCCATATTTCTCCTTGCGTCCTGTCTTTTGTTGCCACCATGAAGTTTTAAATTTCGATGTCTCCATATTCCTCCTTGCGTCTTCTCTCTTTTGCTGCCACCGCCGTGACGTTTTACATTCCGGGGTTTTCATATTCCTCCTTGTGTCTTCTCTCTTTTGTTCTCATGTTACTCATCTAGATCGAGAGTATGAGTTTTGCGATCTTAACATAAATTACAACTAAAGAGACGAAAATAGAACATTATAGAAAAAAGTTGATTCTATCTCTTTTGAGAAACCCCACCGAGCTCATAAAACCAACCTTATCGTTCGTGGTTATCAATGGATGCTTGACTTTTCAGGTGGAGGGACCAGCGGCTGTATCAGCCACAGGGTTGGGGTATCACAATTTCCCAATGGAGATTTCATAGAACTATGCTGTATCAGCCATAGCGCAGTAACTTACGCGGGGGAAGGTAAGAATGGTGTGCTTATTTTACTGTGCCGAATGGTTTGATTTCAAGGGGACTGTAAAACTGTAAAACTGTAAAACTGTAAATACGAGTCTTTGTGGTAGAAATTTGCTTGCTTTAGTTCTATACTTTTAGCCTTTCGCCAATGTACATACAGCCATCACCAGTTCTGAAGAAGTGTCTACGATGTGTTCAAATAGTTTGTTCATTAAAAACCCTTTTGGAGTTCTGCAATCTTCTCTTTCGTTCAATTTCCAGGCTTCCAATTACAATTGTTGGGCCTTAGCTCATCTCAATGGGCTTATTGGGCGGGCCTCAATATGGGCCGAGTCTCTCTTCAACGAGATGTGGGCTTAGCGATGAATTTCAGATGACTTGTTCAATGTTTTTTTTTTTTTAATAAATGTCTTCCCACAAAAATTTTCCAGGAAAATTACGATATTTTTATATAGTTTCGATAAATTAGATGTTTATGACAAATTAAATAATAATAAAAAATACCCATAAACTATGGGCATTATTTTTGGAAAAGTTGTATTTTAATTTTACAAATTTGAAAGAAAAATAATAATTTCAAAATAACCCTTCAAGGCTTTTATCTATTAATAACAAATTAAAATGAATTTTAAATAAATTGTTTTTCGATAATTAAAAAAAAAAAAGGTTTTGAAAGTAATTTGCCGAAAATAGCGGGGGCCCTAGTGGGAAAATGAGTCACTGAACACCGACTGATTTGGACTAATAAATAAAGTGGGTCCCGCCTTGAATTAACAAATTAAAAAATAAAAAGAAAAAGAAATGTGGGACCTACTTTGATCCGAGACGTGATGTTTACGCCATGCAGTTTCACTTCACGCTTCACGTTCTTTTTTTCTCCTCAAATTAATCGAATTTATTTATTTATCATTATTATTTAAGTTACATCACTAAATTATAAATTATGAAGATTTTAGTCCAAATTTAAAAATGATTTTTCTCTGACTATTTTAATTCAGAAAAGTTTTTTAAATGTTTAAATTCCAGTTAATTTATTTCAAATAAATTTTAAAATAAAGTGATAATGTTCAATCACTTTTTTAAAACAAAGTCTTTATTGACTTTTTTTTTCTACAAACTTTCATAATGTATTCACATTTTATTATAATTACTATAATTTATTTCGTCATTTGTTTATTTATTTTTAAATTAATTTCAATAATTTTTTTTAAATATCCCATTTTTACTTTTAATCAATTAAATTAAACATAATTTATTTTTTAAATTTTGATGTTTATAGACAAATTCATAAATTTTTAATTTTATATCTAATAAATTTATAAACCGTATCAAGTAATTTAAAAATTAATTAATCAATTTTTTTAAGAATTAAACATAATTTCATTTATAATTTAAAAAAAATTAAATAAAATGTTTAAGAGAAAAAACGTGAAATACACCTAAGAAATAAATGGTTTGGGTGTTACCGTTAATTAAAGTTGTCCATTTTTGCGTGTTGGCTATTTTAGTTTGGTACGTCTCATAAATATGTAATTCTGTTGGATTATTCTACTTTCTCGTGGGGACCACCCTTATAGAATAAAGAATTCCCGTTTAAATTTAAAATAGGAAGTTAGGGACCGAGACTTCATAATGTTCACTAAATAGGGTTGAAGATGGAGATTATGCTCTCTGTTTTTTTCTTTTCACTTGCTTTTTAATGCATTTCGTCCACGTTTTTTAAAATATTTTTCTCAAATGTGACCTGAAGTTCGATCTTACGTCGAGATTGTCTTCAAAGTCCAACTTCCGTGTGACTAATTTGTTGATTAAGCTAGAATAAGTATCACACAATCGTTGCAATTTTCATATTATTTATATATATATATTAATGAAGAAGTTAATTTATATTTTTAAACACATAAAAATATAGAAAAAATCACGATAATCTAATTCGGGTGGTTTACTACAAATTTTTTTTTGGGTCAATTTGTGTGAAAATAAATAGAGAATTAGACGGAATTAATATATATATATATATATATATATATATATATATGTCAATTTGTGTGAAAATAAAGAGAGAGAGTTAGACGGAATTAATATATATATATATATCAACTTCTCCTTACCTAAGGTTATATACTGCGAGCCGTTGTTGTTACTCTCTTGCTTGCTTATATAACGTTTCTTTCAAAAATTTCTCTCTGCCCTCGTTTTCTAAAACCTTCTCTTAAATCGAGGCTAGAGGCTCAAGCATACGTCGCTGGGCCGATGGTGACACAAGAATGAATTTGCTCAACTCACTTGTCGTTGGAAAGTGAGTGCTGCACAGTCGCAAGTCCGCTGCCATCAAGAGTACGATTGTGACAAGTGGTTTAGCTCACTTGTTGTTGGAATTGATATATATATATATATAAACAAAACTTAGGAAGAATTAGATGGAAAAATGGAATAAAAGTGAAATCATGTGGTTGATTAAATGGTCGGCTAGGCGGATCGTGACATGTCGGAGACTTCGTTAATAATAATGATTACTATACATCTTATAAAATAATATTACTTGTTTATATCATACCTTATTGTTAAAAACAAAAAAGAAAAAAAATCTAATTTTTTAATAAATAAATAAGCCATAATTTTAAGCATATTTTCATTTTGCTACAAATCTTTTAAACTTTTTATAATTTCATCTTTACCCTCGTCTTAATTAAAAAATAGTTATTTTTAAATAATTTTTTTCTATTATAAATTAATAATTAATCAGATTTTTCTATTAATAAATTAATAATTTAGTAAACAATAATGGCTATCATTTTAAAAAATATATAAAATTTAGAAATGAAATTTAAACGTTTCTATTTGAAGTGGAGCAGGTGGAGACGAGAAATATAATCTCGACCCCAACCCAATTTATCTAACCGAGAAAAATCTCTCTCCACTCCCTCTTCATTTTTCGTTTAAATAGAGATTCTCTATTATATTCGGAGCGGGTGGAGACGAGAAATATAATCCCGACCGCAATTCAATTTATGTAACAAGAAAAAATCTCTTTCGACTAGCTCCCTAATTTATTTACTGTACAAATTAAATAGACATTTCTAACTTTACCGTAGTCTGGTCCCATTTTTCGTTTAAGTATAGATTCCTTTATTTTGTTATTATTATTATTTTTGAAAATTGACATAAAAAAGTTTTTTTTTTTTTTGAGAAAGGCAAAAAAAACGGTATTATAGTAAAACTGCTTGACAGCCAAAGCCTTGTCAGAACTTTTGTTTTCCGCAGCGAAATCTCTCCACGCGCCTTTGAAACCCGTGCGCTACACGACCAATGAGAGAAAAGGGTACCACTAAATTAAAATTGAAACGTCAAATAATATTACCAAAATATTATTTTTGGATGAAAATTAGATATTAAATTAAAAAACGCTTTTTGTCAACTATTTATTATTTTTCATTCAAAATATTTTTAAAATTATTAGATTAAATTTTTTATAAACTATAAAAATTAAATTATTTCGTATAAAAAATTTATACTTTCATGTCACGATATTTATTAGAATACCAATTAAATTATTTAATTCCAAAAATTTCACGACTAAATTATTATATTTTTTTTAATATAAAGACTAAATTGTTACACGTTGAAGTTAAAAATACTTATTTTTTATTTAAATATATTTATTACCGTTTTTATGTATTTTTTTAACTTTCAAATGTTTTATTATAAACTTATTTTTAACGGTTTAAAAAATACCTTTAAACTATTTAAGAAAAATTTAAAACATTAATATATGGATGGAACGGTTCAAAATAACATTAATAACATTAAATTTTTTTTTTAATTTAAAGTAATTTTATAGTCGATAGGCTGACAATTGAAAAATGAGATGATTTATAAGACTTAGAAAGACCGTTTTCGTTATATATTAAAAAGAATATTTTTTAAAAAATAAAAATTAAGGGATTAATGGAGAAAAATAATAATAATTTATTTTTAAAAATAGAACAAATTTTATATTAAAAACAATTACGTATTATTAATTTTTTTTTAAAAAAAGTTTAGGAATATTTTTTAAAGTGTGTTTTATTAATTTAATAATTTAAATTTTATTGATAGTAATATCACGCTCTGTAAATGATCGTGGGATCAGCTTCTCCCTTGGGCTATCCGTTACTCACGAGTGAGCCAATCAAATCCTCTGTTTCTCTCTCACTCCTCCCATTAACGCATAAACTGTAAGCATCCACACCGCTTTCTAACCCCATCCCCCACTTTCTTGTTCTTCTTCATGATCTCGGAAGCGATTTTGTTTTTGTTTTTGAAGTTTTTGTTCTTAATCTTCTTCTTCTTCTTCTAGATTTCTACTCCTAATCATTTCATTATTCTCTAATCTTAAAGGTAAACAGGGGAGGAAGATTTTTGTTCTTCATTTTTTTCCGCCATGAATGCTTCCTTGAACACCGATTTGGGGTTTTTCTTCTTCTCTGTTAGATTTCTCTCTGTTCATACTTCTTTGAACTGATCCACTAATTGGATTTCATAATTATTTCATCTCCTTCACTGTTTGCTTGTCTGAATCGAAACTTGGGGGAAGATTTTGATCTTGGTTTAAGCTTCAATGTCTAAGAATCCTTCTGTGATTGATCTTGAAGCCATGCCGTTTAGTGAAGTGTTCAGTAAACTTAAGCGTTTGAGACTGTTCGAGCCCTCGCTTGGGGTTTTTGGGTTCTTTTTCGTGTCTATTTGTTTGATTTGTAGCTTTTTTTTCTTGGATTACAGAACTGCTTCAAGTAGGTTTGTGTTTCCTCTTCGATCAGAGAGATTTGTTTGGCTAAGAAACGCTAATTTTGGTCAGAATCGGACGGTTGAGTTTCTTTCTGAAGAGGGATTTGAGTGTGATTTGTTTGATGGCGATTGGGTTTGGGATGATTCTTATCCTTTGTATGAATCCAAGAACTGCCCGTTTGTTGATCAAGGCTTTCGCTGCTCTGAAAATGGCCGCCCTGATTTGTTCTACACTAAATGGAAATGGCAACCCAAATTCTGCAACCTGCCCAGGTAAAATTTGAACTCAGTATCAGATTCATCAAATTGTTTATTAGATTAATCCGAAACTGATGAAGAACAATCTTATTAGCTCAATATATTTGTTTGAATGTGTATATGATTATTACAAGTTCTAGATTCTGCTTTGAGTTTGAATTTTCTTTTTGTTTTGATTCTAATTCAATGGCACCCTACCTGTTTTTTGGTTTTTGTTTTTTCTGCTTTGTTGACTGATTTCACCCGTGAATTGTTGGATGGATATGAGAAGGGACCTAGCTATGTAGTTTACAAGCTATTGTTTATGGATGAATTCACGAGAATCGTGGCGTTTTGTGTTAATTATGGACGATGATCTCGTAAAGTGTATTGTTCTTGTTAGTTTGATTACTAAGTGCGTGTTTGTAGGTGAGTTTGAAATGGTTAAATGACTCACGAACATGGTAGTTTGTGTAGTTTTCAAGTTGCTAGTTATTGGTGTAGTGGGAGACCACATCGGTTGGAGAGGGGAACCAAGCATTCCTTGTAAGGGTGTGAAAACCTCTCTCTAACAAACGTGTTTTAAAACTTTGAGGGAAAGCCCGAAAGGGAAAGCCTAAAGAGTACAATATATACTAGTTGTGGGCTTAGGCTGTTACAAATAGTATTAGAGCCAGACAATGAGTGGCGTGCTAGCGAGGATGCTGGCCCCCAAGGGAGGTAGATTGTAATCCTACGTTGGTCGGAGAGGAGAACGAAACATTCCTTACAAGGGTGTGAAAAACTCTCCCTAACATACGCGTTTTAAAACCTTGAGGGGTAGCCCGAAAGGGAAAGTCCAAAGAGGACAACATCTGCTAGCGGTGGGTTTAGGCTGTTACAAATGGTATGAGAATCAGACACCGGGCGGTGTGCTAGCAGGACGCTTGGGCCCCAAGGGAGGTGGACTGTGAGATCACACATTGGTTGGAGAGGAGATTCCTTATAAGGTGTGAAACCTCTCCCTAGCATACGCGTTTTAAAAACCTTGAGGGGCCAAGGAAGAGAAAGTCCAAGGAAGACAATATCTGCTTAGCAGTGGGCTTAGGCTGTTATAAAATTTGATAGTTGAAGGGTCGTTTTTGAATCTCTCTAAAGTTTGATTGGATTTACGAGCTATCAGGTTCAATGCAACGTTTATGTTGGAGAAAATACGAAACAAACGGGTCGTGTTCGTCGGTGACTCGATTGGAAGGAACCAATGGGAATCACTTTTATGTATGCTATCATCTGCAGTTCCAAACAAAGAATCCATCTATGAAGTGAATGGTAGTCCAATTACAAAGCACAAGGGATTCTTGATGTTCAAGTTCAAGGATTTCAACTGCACTGTTGAATACTACCGAGCTCCGTTTCTCGTCTTGCAGAGTCGACCTCCTTCGGGTGTTTCTCGAGAGATCAAGACGACTCTTAAGCTAGATCAGATGGATTGGTCCTCACCCAAATGGCGAGATGCCGATGTTTTGATCTTTAACACCGGGCATTGGTGGAACTACGAGAAGACCATAAGAGGGTAACGTTCTCGACCGCATTTTCGAGCTTCTCGTTGTTCCATTTCCATGTTTTTCTCAATGAATGACGGGTCTTTTTTCAATGTCATGGACAGAGGATGTTACTTCCAAGACGGGAACGAGATAAAGATGGAAATGAAGATTGAAGATGCATATCAGCAGTCGCTCAAGACCGTGATGAACTGGATCAACAACGAACTAAACTCGAACAAAACGACCGTCTTCTTCCGTATGTTCGCCCCCGTACATTTTCGGTAAGTTCGTGAGATTCATGTTTTATGTGCATTCTGTCTGGCTTTGTACATAAGATATGGAAATTATGCAGAGGTGGAGATTGGAGGAATGGTGGGAGCTGTCATTTGGAAGCTCTACCGGAGCTTGGTTCTTCGTTAGTTCCTCCCGAAACCTGGTCCCATTTTCGGATAGCGAATTCCATCCTATCAGGTTACTTAGCGACACCAAATTCAACTAAACTAGAGATATTAAACGTAACTCGAATGACTGCACAGAGAAAGGATGGGCATTCGTCTCTATACTACCTCGGTCCCGATGTCGGTCCTGTGCCTCCTCATCGACAGGATTGCAGTCACTGGTGTTTGCCTGGGGTTCCTGATGTGTGGAATGAGCTTCTTTATGCACTGTTCTTGAAGCATGAATGGACCTCTTCAGCTTCTCAGGCCACTTAAGTTGAAGTTTTTGCTTACAGAAATGATAGCCACCTCATCAATGGGCTCGAGTCCGGTCCCGACTCGACCCAAGCTCGACTCAAAGTCAAAATTTGATCTAACCTATTTATTCATTGTATCAGATACGTATCATCACCATTTTGAAGATTGGGTTAGCCAATGAATCAGTTTGTCAGGCCGACCTAATAGGTTTATTATTGGACAAACCAAATATATGTATATGTACATGTATATATTTAGTTATTCGTATATTATATTTTATAAATTCGAGAATGTAAAATTTTTTAAAGGACACGTCTCTATTGTTCCTCTTAAAAAATATCTTTCGACTTCGAATGATGCAACGGTGACTTAAAACCGTAAGTCGGTCTCTATTTCCCTTTCAAGTCACTGCTTGCACCATTCCAGGTCTCAGTTTTTCATAACATATATATCGTTCAATAAAATGAACAGTACCTGTCTATAAACCAATAAGTAGAAGCTCTCATTTACTCTCTCACGGGACTCTTCTGAACCAATAAAGATACGTCACATCAGAAAGTAACTCGAGCTTTTTACGTACCCACGTGTAGACAAATATTGTCGTTAACAAAGGACAAACCCTACCCATCCACTCATCCCTATACACTTTTTGTCATGTCAAATAAGGAAGAAGTCCCTTAGCCATGGTGAGTAGTTCAACCTATGTCTTCTTCTTGTTTGTTCCTATTTAAATCTAGTGGAAATGAAGCAAACCAAGTACAGTTTCTTGAGTTTTAGGGTTTTGTTTCGGAGAATTCGAGATGGAAATCGGAGTAGAAAACGATGATTTGTTGTTTGCCGAGCTTACTAGACGGATTTCGCTTCTCATTATGGATGACAACGAGCTTCCGATCGTTCATACGGTTTGTTTTGACTCGCTGGTTTAGCCCTTTCGATTCATCCCGACTATTATTCAACCTGAATGTAGTACGTTTAGTTCTTCACTTTGGGTTAAGGTTGTGTTTGTTTATCGTTTATTGAATCTATATTGTTAACATTGTTTGTTTAGAGAGCCGAGCTATTAGATTGGATATATTATGTGAGATCCCACATAGGTTGAAGAGAGCAACGAAACATTCCTTTATAAGGGTGTAAAAACCTCTCCCTAGCATACGCGTTTTCAAAACCGTGAGGCTAACGGAGATACATAACGGGCCAAAATGGACACTATCTGCTAGCGGTGGGCTTGAACTGTTGCATATTTCATTCGAAAGTTTAGAGTTTGAATAGTGAACTAGCTACCGATCAAGTCTAAACTCAAAGCTCATCACTCCGAGGACCTTTAAACATTTAGAGGTCATGCTTGTAACTCGACCTATTATTAATGTTTCAGGATCTGAGTAGGTCAGTACACCGAGTTCAAACTGAGCAACTTCCATTGATGGTGGATCACAAACATGGCTTCGTAAGGGAGAGCAAAGGTACTGGAGTTTACATCCCGACACGGTTGCCGTTGTCGAGGAAGAAGCAGAAGAATGCCACTAGCTATGGAATTAAGTCGGAAAATAAGAGACTCAATCATCAACGATCTTTTAAACCAAAAAAGGGCTGAGCTTATAATTTTTGTAATAGTTTTTTATTATTTCAAGTTTTTGTAATATATTAATATTTAATTATTTAATAACTCATATGTGAGAGTTATATGTTGGTAATGTCACTTGTGAAATAAAGCTAGCTCAATTTTTATCTATTTTTTCTTCTTGAAATATGATTAAATAACAATAATAATAATAATAAAAATAATAATTAATAATAAATTCCAAGTTATATATATATATATAACTGGTGAACAAATTAAATATTTTTGCTAAAATTCATATCACTGTCACACCACGATATTAGAGTCAGATACTGGGTGATGTGCTGGCGAGGAGGCTGAGCCCGGCAGTGTGTCAGCGAGGTCACTAGGCCCCGAAGGAGGGTGAATTGTGAGATCCTACATCGGTTGAAGAGGAGAACGAAACCTTCTTTATAAGGGTGTGAAAACGAGTCTGCAAGGAGAGGTTGACTTCAACGTTACAAATAAAACCCAAATAAGACCATATGTACAAAATTAATTTTGTATAAAAAAAAATTCTAAAAACTTCTTAAAGATTTAAAAATTGCAATACGTTTAGGGTCACCAATAAAATTATTATTCTAAAAAAAATCCTTTTTTTTTTTTTACATTTATTTATTTATTTTTTTTTATATTTATTTTAAAAAATAAAAAAATCATTTTCATATTTATTCTTTTTTCTCTCATCTGCGTCTCCTCCCTCCATCTTTCAATTTGATAGTTGAGGATCTTGTATCGGCTAGGCTTATCTATGGCGTCCGCGATTCTGAAGCGAGTCAGCGCCTCCGCGAAGAGCACGCTGGTTGAATCTATGCGAATCAGAGCGTCATCGCGAGCCTTTGCGGCGGTGGCGGTCGGAACTGACATCGTCTCCGTCGCACCGAACGTTTCTCTCCAGAAGGCTCGGAGTTGGGACGAAGGTGTCTCCTCCAAGTTCTCGACGACTCCGCTTAAAGATATTTTCAAGGTTTGTTCTTCGATTGTTCGTGTGTTTCTTTCGAGGTTAATTGTGTTAGTTTTTGAAGTATACTTGTGCTTTTTATGTAAAAATATTGGTTGTTCATGAAATTTAGGGCTTTGAAGGCCACATTTGAGCTTAATGTTATGTTTTACGCTTTACTTTGAATGATGGTTTAGTTTAGTCTAGTCAGTCTTTATCTTATTGATTCATTGGCCATGATATTTCAGGGCAAGAAGGTCGTCATCTTTGGGCTTCCTGTAAGTCGATCTATTCAGTCTTGTACAATTGTATATATGCTATGAAATCATGAATTCTATACCAAATTGTTGCCGATGCATATGTCTTCATCTCTTTTTCAACGCGGTGTGCTCTTTGATTGGGGCAACAATTTATGTATGCTCACTTTCATGATACATGTGTTGAGGATTATTGGGAATGAGTCTCACATTGGCTAATATTGGCTAATTTAGGGAATGATCATGGATTTATAAGTGAGGAATATCATGAGTTTATAAGTGAGGAATACTATCTCCATTGGAATGAGGTCTTTTGGAGAAGGCCAAAGCCAAGCCACGAGAGCTTATGCTCATAGTGGACAATATCATACCATTGTGGAGAGTCGTGATTCCTAACACAATGCCCATCCAATCCGTTAGTGAAATGAGGATTTATTTTTGAGATGAGTAACCGTGTTTCTTGAGGATTTATTTTTGAGATGAGTAACCGTGTTTCCTGGTTTACATTTCATTTCTGACCTCTAAAAGATTGATCAGATACTTAGGAAGAATTGTTAAATTTTTTACACGAACTTTATTTTGTTTTCGGTAGAATAATCTACTATTTAAAGAATTATCGACTATACAAAATCGTGATTGTACAAAATTTCCCCTAAATTTTTCTCCCTGGACAAACGCATTTGGTGGTATGGAGATTTGAATCCTGGCAGGATCTTTATTCCAAACTAGTTCTTACCAGCTGGAATTACCCTATGGGACTTATATACATATTAAATCATATAAAGATCAAGAACAACATCATCCTTACCAGTTGATGATGCACATTTTAAAGTCGGTATTCCAATTCACAGGGTGCATATACAGGAGTTTGTTCTCAGCAGCACGTTCCCAGTTACAAGAACAAAATTGATGAGTTCAAGGCTAAAGGAATTGATTCTGTTATTTGCGTGTCTGTTAATGATCCATATACCCTCAATGGCTGGGCTGAGAAACTTGAAGCGAAAGATGCTGTAAGCTTCCTTGACCAGAGTTATATGGAAACTGCATAATTTTCTTTACTTGGTGTGTAATTTAGTTATTTGTCAGTACGAACTGTCTTCTAATGGCGTATTCTGATTATCTTAATTGCATTTTCCTGTCGTTATCCTGTTTATTCCTGCATAGATACAATTTTTTGGGGACTTCGATGGAAGATTTCACAAGAGCCTGGAACTGGATAAAGATCTTTCTGTTGCTTTGCTTGGTCCTCGTTCTCAAAGGTACGATCAATCTCGTCTTTGACATGCCAAAATATTTATGGATTATGATTATTTAGCTCGTCTTTGATAACCACCTTATTTTTTATTTTTGATTCTTGAGAATTAAGCTTACAAATACTACTTCCATTTATCAGTTTTTTTGATTTGTTATCTACTTTTTGAGGATATTTTCAAGATTTGACAACTAAAAAAAGTAGTTTTAAGAAAATTGTTTTTGTTTTCGAGATGTGACTATGAACGCAAATCTTTCCGTAAGAAAAATGAAAAGAAATTGTGAGAAAATAGATATAATTTTTAAAAACTAAATGATTATCAAACAGGACACTGGTTGGTTGCTTTTGAAGCTTATTTTAGTTTTAGGGTCCAACTAGGTAGACATTTCTACACTCTGACATCCTTCTTCCCTGTAGATGGTCAGCATATGTTGTAGATGGCACAGTTAAGGCTCTTAACGTAGAGGAAGCTCCATCCGACTTTAAGGTTACGGGGGCAGATGTCATTTTGAACCAAATTTAGAGTCAGTTTCCATTGCAACCAATTCAAGGTCTTGGATTCCGAATAAGACCATGGGTGTAACTGAGTTGTGTATGACAAAGGTTTTCTTTTGATTTTTTTGTTGGTCTGAAGTAAATCCCATGTGACGATTGCTTGGCTGCTTGGCTTCCACTTATTGTTCTTCATATATAAAATGTTCTAACTTGGATTCAGAAACTCAAAAATTTGGAAACGAGTATTCTTCAATCCAAATCAGCACTTCTCGATTGGAATAAACAGTAAGTACCAAGAGAAACAGAGCAAGGTAGGACCTTGGCCAAATCCATGCAAAATTAGGTATAGATCTTCTCCAGTTAAGGGTGTGGAGAAAGTTTTAGCCTCGAATTGGGTTGGTCTTGGTTTCATCATCTGATTCTATTATTACTTTAAATTGATCGAGTGGAATGTTTCAAGTTGATTGAATTTCTTTATCCAATCCTTATAGCTGGTAAATCAGTTAGAAAATCGATAGAAGAGGAAACTTTTAGTTGTAGTTTACTAATCTTTTTATTGAATTCAAACTTTTTTTTAGTTCAACAATTGTGGGAGTGGAGTGATTGAGCCACCAACTTTTAAATCATCGTTGGACCTTTAGTGCTGAAAATTGAAGTCTTGAATATTTGAGACATTGTTCTTCACAATCATGGGCCCTTTAAATCACCCATCGACTTTCAGCATTATTGATCACTTCAATTTCTGCGGAAATCAGATGACATGTGGTTCCATAGTCCAGTCTACCAATTTCATTCTATAATCCATTCATATGTAGTTATTTAAAGAGAAACAACTCGCGACTAGGATGTCTAATTACCCGACGCAGACTTCTCCCAAAGGGGTGGATAGACTTTTTCCCAAGCTAAACAGGCATAAGGATGGTGGTAATATTTCATGTTCCATCTCATTCCCGATCTCGTCTCATTCTCTATCTCTGCTTCATTTTTGTAACATATATATTTTGGAAGACTGTTGTTATCTTGATGTAACATTGAAATTTAAATTTTTTAAAAATCATGATTGAAAGAGTTTTAAATTCGAACCATGCACATGAAATCTTATTGTTATTATTAGCACATTCATTTTTTTTTTCTTTTAAATAGTATTTAAGATGAAAAATTTGATGAGAACGAGAATTTAAATAGGAAACGAAGATGGAGGTGGGAACAACCACTCCAACTCATGAACAACTGTTGCATTATTAGACCAATTTTTTAGGGTATATGAAAAAGGAAGAGCAAAAATTCAAAGAGACTATCCCTAAAGTTGTTCAAAGGTAGTGTGGAAGCCGTGGGAGAAAAAGAACTTATTCTTGCACATCTTCCAAAGTCCAAAGCCCTAAAGCCTACTCTCTAATGTACTTACTTTCCTGTCTATTCCTTTGAACACGTTCCTTATGAATCCAATTCCCAGCTACTGGCGTTCAACAAAAGTTATGAACATTTAGAACAATTCTAATCTTACAAGTAGCAAAATTGGCAAGGGAATCAAGTTCTGAAACAGCACCTTCAAAGTTCCTACCTAAATGGTCAATTTAATGCCCAAATTCCCTTTCAGAATAGAAACCAGCATCTTCTTTTATGTTCTTCCCTTGAAAGAAGAATGAGATATAGGAGTTGGTTATTCGTTCAAAGCTTTCCATTGATGGTGAACACTTCAGTCCCAATCTCAATGAGAGAGAATGAAACTCATCCACATAGAAATAGAGTATCATGAAGCAGAACATCATATCATTACATCATATATATATATATAGAATTACTATGAAAACTACGCCTTTTTCATCACTAGATTTATATGAAGAAGAAGAAAATGCAGGACTCAAACCAACTGGATGTTGGTTAAATCATAACAAGTCGCTTGCCACAGTATGCATTCTGCTGAGTTGAGTTGAGTTGATAAGATGTTCATCTAGATGAGTGTCAAATCCTAATTTCCACACTTCAATCTCCTCTCTGCCAAAAGAGATGAATGATAATCAATAAAACACATCAAACTTATAAATTCTGGAGCTTTTCACGTACGTATGTGTGATTCTCAGTATGAACTATGCACGTATAATGGTCGTTTACAAAGTTAACCTGGAAACAGGTATAGGTTGGTAACAGTTCGTGTTTAAAATTGTCTAAAGACATGAAGTGAAGTACCTGAGCTAGAGAATCATCGACGGAGCCTGGAACCGTAGGGGAAACATGTGAGGGTGAACCAGTACATATTCTGTCATTTTTTACTGAACCATCTGTGACACCACTTTCTTGCATTACTACGTTCTTTCCTTTCATGGAGTTTGATGTACCTCCACTGCAGCTGAAAAAGGAAACAGAAGCAGCATTCCTTTTTGAAGACAAATCTAGGCGATCGATCATTCGAGCAACACCAGCAATCCCAGCACTTACTTCACGCTTCACTCCTCGGCTTAGCTCCTTCACGGAGCTGTTACGAGCAAGCAGTTTCTCCTTAATACCTTGAGTGCTTCGCCATATTGACTCCTTGTACCTGTATTGGTACAATTTAGAAATCTTGATATGCATCATAGCATTGATGAGGTATCATGTAGAAACTAGTTTAAGAGAAGCAAACTCCCATTACACTTACTTTGCAGAAGTAGCAGACCATTTGGATTTGATGGAATCTGGGAAAGAAAGCCCCTCAGATTGGTTTGTTTTCTGTTGACTACCCGACGATGTCTCGGTCAGTAAAACCCTATATGACAAAGAAGATGTAGGTTAGACAGCAAAAGAAACGAACGCTTTACTCGTTTTGAAGCTTGAGGGTATCTTGAGTATTTCTAGCAGGGCATTCTCTCTTCTACAGTTATTTATTGTTGGTGTTAAGAGCAAAGCATGAAATAGATACATTAGTCTGGGGACGTAAAATACCTAGGCGAGATTTTACTAATTCCGGTTCGACCACCAGACGACAAAGGGGAACCAGGAGATGGTGAATCACTATTAGGTGAACTTAGAGAAGCATCTTGAAATCTAGGTGACAATGGGCATATTAGCACTGGAACCTCTTCTGGACATGCAGAGGCACCTTGTGAAGGTCCAAGTCCAAATTGTCTTTGCCTCTCCCTTCTATGAACATACCGAGCTCGGCTAGCTGCAGCAGCAAGATGCTGCATAATCAGGTCATCAAAGTCAGAGTCATCTGAACGAGAGGAGTCCTGAAGGAACCAATTTTGCTTCTTAATAATAGTCGATCCTCATTGAAAGAATAAGGACGTCGAATAGATTGTCAGATTTATTAGAACTACTCACATGGTCGACATCGAAGTTTTCGTGGAAACGCAAAGAAGTGGATGCAACAGAAGACAAGCTTCTAGACTTCAAAAGCTTTTCATTAGCAATGGCTGCTAGAAGCTCCTGGCTGTAGAATAGTTGAATTAGCACTAGATTAATTAGAAAGCTTGCATTGTTTTCATTCATTAGATAGATCGAGGGAGACACGGGCGAGGCACGAGAATATAGAGGAATTAAACTTTCTAAGACAAAGTTACATACCCAACAGGATCCCTCAACACTAGCAACTGGCAACAGATTGGGCACTCGTTGCTTCGTTGAGACCTGAAAGAATCAATAACCGAAAAGTAAGACTCGAATCAACCTATTTTTAGAAGATCATATAAACAAGGATGATCTTCAAGAAGTCTACCAATCAAGAATACATTGGAGATGATATTCATGCTTGCAACTGGTGATCTGAAATTTGAACAATAGACAAGGTTAATCCAAACATAAAGGCCACATATACCACATAGAATGGAGCAGCAACATCTTTGATACAAAACCCCCTTAGCTAGAGGAGCGATGAAATCGCTTCATTTGATCTCAACATTCTGAGCTCAAGCCCAACGCTAGCAGATATTGTCCTCTTTAAACTTTCCCTTTCGAGCTTCCTCTCAAGGTTTTTAAAACGTGTCTATTAGGGAGAGGTTTCCACACCCTTATAAAGAATGCTTCGTTGTTCTCCTCTCTAACCGATGGGGATCTCACAAACCACCCCCTTCAACTCCAAGGTACTCTTTGGCTCCAATACCATTTGTAACCGCCCAAGCCCACTACTAGCCAATATTGTCCTCTTTAGGCTTTTCCATTCGGGCTTCCCCTTAAAACGATGTCAGCTAGGGAGTGATTTTGCACACCCTTATAAAGAATACTCCGTTCCCCTCTCCAATCGATAGGGATCTCACACAATCACTTGGACAGCCAATCCCAGTCACTCACTCATCTACTTACCAATTCTAAATCGAACTTAAACATCCCATCACACCAAGTGGTTATCAAAACAAAGTAGCTAGACAGAAAACAAAAGAATCCCAGAACACAGCCATCACCAGAAATCAACCACCTACATTCTACAGTGACACTCAAACCAGTTCCTACATTCTACAGTGTTCAGTCGAGCAACTAGCCGCCGGGAGTAAAAGAGTAAGAGGTAGGTGATGTGGTAGCTAATAAGATGATGGTAATAAGAAGAAGCAAATAGAATGAAGAACAAACTATATAAAGATGCAGAAGTTGTAGAGTAGGATGAACACCAACTCAAAAGAAAAGCAAGCAGTGAAAGGAAGACGATCTGGAAAGAGCAGCAGGGGAAAGGAGGTTCTTACAGAGGGAGGATCGTGGGAGGTAAAAGGATCGAGGCAAATACAGCAAGCGTCGTCTTCAAAAGCATCATCGGAGGGAGGAGAAAGAGCATTGAGCGAGGAAGAAGTGAAATCCGCCATTGGAGTGCCGACAAAATCAAAGGGAAGCCTCCTTCTTAGAACAGGAAATGGGGGAAAATCTGAAACCTAGAAAACTGTAGAGAGAGAGAGAGAGAGAGAGAAAGCTAATGGTCAAAGCAGAGAGTTATGGGGGAAAAAGTCTGAAGAAATTTGCAGCAAACAAACCGATTCATACGCTTTGGTGGAACCAGTCTGCTCTCAACTTCCCCCCCTTTCCCCTTTACCCTTTTCATTTTTTTAGATTGATTTTTAATTTTGTGTTTAATAGAGAGTTAATTTAAATCACATTTTTTAAAAAATTAAAAATTAATATTTTATTACACAAAAAAATCAAATTTATACCTAATAAATTAATTAATTTTACAAAATGTTAACAAAATTCTCAAATTTATTTTACCTTTTTAAGAATTTATCAGATATTGCTCCAAAAAAAATTTCTAAATAGTTTTTTATTATGAGCCTGAATATATATTAAACTTTTAATATTACACTCATTAAGCCTTCAAAATGTTAAAAATAAAATTTTAAATGACTCGTAAATTAGGGACATGGCACAAAATTACAAAAATAAAAGAGTTTGATCATTTATTAGATTTTTTTTTTAATTTAAATATTTGATTTATACTTATATATTCTATATAAATGCAAAATTTCATAAATAATTAGATTAACTTTAGATTAATATTGCATTACAATATGTTTAGTTATAATTGCTTTTTTTCTTTGCATTTTCTTATGGAGCCTTTTATTTTATTTTTTTAAAACATTTTATATTAAAGTGACCAAAATTTTATCAATATATTATTATTATTTATAAATAATAAATTACTATATTATTCATTGATTATTCATGACTTTGACCAATCGTCCATTTATTATTGGTTGTACAATTTTTTTTATTTTTTTTTTCATATTATTTATGTCCTTTCTTTGACAATAGAGGTGAGGAAATTTCAGCCTCAAGAATTTACAAGTGGACTATTGACCAATAACTAATTATTTATAGGTTTTAAATAAATGATTTATTATTATAGTTCAGTTGTCATAAATTGTTAATAAAAGAATGAGTTAAATAATAAAGTTTAGAATATATAAAATTCAATTATTTATTTATTTCTAGAAATGTATGAATTTTAAATTTGTTCATTTTGAGAGTTCTTTAAAACGTATAGGTAACATAGTTCGTGTAAATTGATGTCTTGACTAGACATCTTATGCAAAATTTGATTATATAAATAATTTTAATATATTGAGATATAATATTTGAGAATATATTATACTAATTAGTTATATAATATATTTTAGATATTCGTATTTAGTTAATATTCTTTTTTTTATGATCTGAGTATATTTTATTTTATTCTTAATATTTAATTAATTTATATTTTCTTTATTTATAAGTATTAATGAGTAGTTTGTATCTTATTTAAACTTTATAAATATCAATGAGAATACATACCTTCGACCCTAATTCTATTTCTCATTTTTAACATAACATTATGTTTTGAGATAAAATAAATGGTAACAGCGATTTCATCTTGAATTGTAGGCTGCAAATTGCCACATAAATTCAAAATTGCTAGTAATCGTTGATCAACCATACGACCGTGAATTTGTTCTCGAACTTTGTACACACCTAATTGTCTATCCGTTTCAAGGATTCCCTCATGAAAATTAGAAGTGGAACGAGACCAACAAATTAGCGACACGTTTTCCATGTATAAATAACATATAAATAAAGAGATGAAAAAAGAAAGATGAATGGTGTGGGGAGTGATCAAATCCTGACCGTTGATTTTTGAAGTTTGAATAAAGGTGGGACCAAATCTGCTGCAGGCCAAAGACTTTTTATTCCTCTTTCTCAATAGAGTCAATAAAAAGCTAAGTGCCAAAATTCTTTCTTTTTTTTCTTTTTTTTCTTTTTTTTCTTTGTACCCTCTTGTGGACCCACATTGCTTTCTTTTTGACAAATAATTCACAAAATGGGTTTTTGAAAGTGAATTTTGTTTTTTTTTTTATTATTATCCTCTTATGAAATTAAATTATAAATAACTAATTTTTTTGGGTACATTATTATAGTTCTTATGGAACTTCGAATGAAATTATCTATAAGAAAACTATTTTACAGTCGAACAAGGAATGATATAGTTAAACTTCTAAAATATCTATAAAAAAACCCACACCATTTTTAAATTACCTCAAAAAAACAAGCAGAGTCGTGAAGAAAGGAAGGAATACTCCTATATAAAGTTTGAAGGTAAAATTTAAAACTTTTTCGCTCGATAACCATTTTGTTATAAATGAAGATCATAGCGAAGAAAATGTAAGAAAATTAACAAGTAGACTTAAAAAATTCCGAAACTCAGATTAATATTAGATTTACAAATGGAAAATGTGCTCTCTCCTCCACCAACATGGTATTTCTGAAAAGTTTTCAGCCCAAAAAGGAAAGAAATTTCTCTCTATATAACAAACCCATCTTTAATTACTGAGTTCTTTAGTATAATGGTAATACCAGAGCGGATGTAAAAGCCTTCTGACGACCTATCTGCCTCTTGTACGCCCTGCATTTCCATGGTCAAACACATGAATAAATAACCCCAAATCCTATTTTCTTTCAGGTATTTGATACAGAAAACTCCACATTACATCGTATCGAATTGTTCTCTTTTACGCTGTTACGATGAATTTATATCAATACTTTAACACTTTCCCTCGCTTAGAGAGTAAATGACTACCGAACCAAAGGCTTAAGGTAATAGGTAACGACAGGTTGAATTTTTTATCGATACTTTGACAGTTTCCTTCACATTTCTTTTTAGTTTAACACGTCTTTTTAGTTTAACACGTGTAGGGTATGGAGATTTGAACCTTGACTTTAAGGGACGAAGCAGATGCCAATGATTGTTAAGTTATATACTCATGTTGGCACGCTTCCCTCACTTACAGTTGTGACAATTTGTAGAAGGTCAAACAAGTGAATGTTATCATTAATCGGGGAAGATACGACAGTATACAAATTCAAACACAAAATCTCGTATTCCAAACAACTACTTTTTAGACCTAGATTGATCTTAAGAGGCTGTATTGGTTTTTCTATGGTTCTTTCAGGTTGCTACGTGAGAAGATTTTTCAAAATATGAACAATAATGTTTCAGGTAAGCCACCAAAGAGCACGTACCTCTGAATTAGCAATAACAACGTTCTTCCCTATTCTGGCATTTTTGTCAATGATGCAGTCCCTGCTCATCGTGAATTTGTTAGGTGGTTGATAAAAACAAGAAAGCAGCAACAGAGATAAATTCGAATGAGAGATTTTGGGCTGTTACTTGATTTTTGTATTTTCTCCAATTCCAACTGGCACTCTTCCCTCTGCTACAAGTGCAGTAACTTCACCATCGGTTTCATAGAAGTCTGCTCCAAGCATTACTGTATCCTGCCCCCACACACCGTAATTTTAGTTCCTTTTTTTGCCAAATCGATGCACGTTCGTTGGCAACGTGTGGAAGATATTGACATGATTACATAAACAGGCATATGAGATGGGATTGTGTTAACTTTGCAGTAAGAAATTGCCATTTTTCAAAGTGGATGTTAGATAAATGTGTTTTTGCAGTATTGGCAGGCAAGCTTCCAAGTTCCATGCTTGTGTTAGTGGAAATGCGGCAGTTTTCAAATATAAACATACAGAGTGAAAAGTAGACTGACCTTGAGGTGTACGTTAGAGTTTATGCGAGATCGGATACCAACGACGCTGTGATCTATGAAACTGTTAGTCAAGAAACATCCATGAGATATGATTGAATCGACAATCTGCACGAGAATTTGAAGATATGTAATTGAAGTTAGTTGAGACAAAGTTGATGAAGTGTGGCTGCTAGTTTGAGAGATAAAACCGTACTTTCTTGATATATTAACGTAGAAAAACTTCTAAATTACTGAGCACCATTTGGTTTTTTCATCAGAGAACATTCAAGGTATGGAATACAACAAAAGACAAGATTAGATTGCATTCATTCTATTTCTCGAATTTGAAAATGCATTATGCAGTAACATTTGAAGACAGTAACAGCCCAAGCCCACCGCTAGCAGATATTGTCCTCTTTGAGCTTTCCCTTTCGAGATTCCCCTCGTGGTTTTTAAAACGTGTCAGCTAGAGAGAGGTTTTCACATCCTTATAAAGAATGCTTCGTTCTCCTCCTCAACCAATGTGGGATTTCACAATCTACCCCCCTTCGGGGCCCAACTCCTTGCTGGCACACCGCCTCGTGTCTACCCCTTTCAGGGCTCAGCCTCCTCACTGACACATCGTTCGGTATCTGATTCTGATACCATTTGTAAGAGCCCAAGTCCACCGCTAGCAGATATTGTTCTCTTTGGGGCTTCCCTTTCGGCCTTCCAAGCCAAAGCCCAAATAGGACAATATCTGTTAGCGGTGGGCTAAGGCTCTAACAACAACATTTCAAACCTAAACCTAAAATTTAGAAGAATATGTTTGGAAGTGACTTTCGAAAACATAAACAATCGTACACATAATATTACATGGACGGAAATTCATAAGGTGAAATCAATGTAACAAAAAAACATATAAACAAAAACGAATACGAAGCTATTTGTTAAAACCCACGAACTTAGCTCAATCTGTAGTACTAAATCTTCGGTTGAATGATATTTTCCAGGATCAAAGCTTCACAAAGAGTTATAACTACAGAGAACCAGATTGCTAACCTTGCAACTCTCGATCTTCGTTGGAGGAAGGTTTCTTCTCGAAGTGTAGATTGGCTTTGTTTCGTCATAGAAACTAAATCTTGGTGGCTGAAAGATACAAATTTGGCGTTACTCTCAAACTATACTACACAAAATATTTCCCCTCGAAATATGTAAATTCGGAAATTAAAATATATTTGTATGACTATAATAAATACTTGAATAGGCAAGTCCAGTGCCTATTTTCAACAACAACATTGAATAATGGAAAAAAAGAAAACCGTTATCAAACAAGCTTCAACTTCGCGCATGTTTTGTAGCATAGACCTAGAAAAAGTTTAGGCCCTGTCTAATAACCATTTGGTTTTTTGACGATTAAGCTTATGAACACTACTTTCACCTATAAGTTTCTTTATTTTATTGTCCAGTTTCTACCAATGTTTTAAAAAAAACAAGTCAAATTTAGAAAACTAAAAAAAGTAGTTTTTGTTTTTTAAAATTTGACTATGAATTCATATATTTGATTAAAAAAGATGACAACCATAGTAAGAAAACTAAAAACAAAGTTGTTATGGGATCAATTGTTTCTTTTTTCTAATTCGGAATCAGACTGAAATTCGTCAACATACGTTCTTAGATATCAAATTGATTGTATGGATCCCAGGCAGGCACCCTTTTAGTACATACCTGCTCGGTCAGCGCAAGGTTAGCCTCAAAGAAGGATCTAATAGTCCCAATGTCTTCCCAGTAATCATTAAATAGATATGCCTGCAAAACATGTATTGATAAAACTTCAAACAGAGCAATAATGCCAGTATTCAACAACCAAACTATACATTCAAAAGTCTAGACCATCTCCTAAGGTCTAATACTGCATATGCTAAATCAATAAAATTTACGACGCAAGCAATGTCACGTGCATATAATGAGCCAAAGCATTGATGTAAACTTCAAGAGCTCTGTCTTACTAGTGATAATATTGATTCAAAATGATTCCAAAAGATAACAAACACAAGACAATCGGCAATTCCAAGAGTGACGCGACCCTCTCCTCCTAAGAATTATTGTTCTAGTCCAAAATATCAAAAGCATGAAAACAAACATTCCAGACAACATACTAATATAGCCCCTGCTACAGCAAAGATTTACAAGACGTACAATAGAGGCTTGTCCATTGGCTAATTCCCTTATTACTCCTAACATAGTAACGTATTCACAAATGGTGGCCTAACAATGACCTACCTTCATGAAGAATTCTCTTGCTGAGGCAGGGATTATCTCTGATCCAAAGTCATTGGCAGTTGGGAAGCGCCATCTGACGCAAACAATTTCTGGCATTTAGAGTCCCATGTTTTAAATTGATATAAACCAAAAAGCATGCTAGATTCGTAGGACTATCTTCTGAACGTTATCGATAAGCAAGAGTGGTTGATACCTTAAAATGTTTAGAAGTATCTCCTTTTTGAATACATAAACTCCCATGGAAGCAATGTATGGCTTTCTCAGTGCCTCATCCTTTGAAAGTCCTAAAACTGTTGTATCCACTTCCTATAACATGTATATGTTAATAAATAATTAACTTATCAAAAGTATCCTGAAGTATGGGGCTGGTTTCCATTTTTCCCCTAAGTTTGAAAAGTTTCACATTAACTCTTGAAGTTTGAAATTTGTTTCAAAACAATCCTTGAGGTTTTGTCATTAAATTCATGAACGGAGAAGTTTGTGCTTTCATATGTGTTATTTTTGTCAACAAATCTAAATACATACAGAAAGTAAACTTAGGGGTTAGTGTAAGATCTCACATCGCGTGGGAAAGGGAATGAAGCATTCTTTATAAGAGTGTGGAAACCTCTCCCTAATAGATGTATATGTGTTATTTTTGTAAACAAATCTAAATACATACAGAAAGTAAACTTAGGGGTTAGTGTAAGATCCCACATTGGTTGAGGAAGGGAACAAAACATTCTTTATAAGAGTGTGGAAACCTCTCTCTAGTAGACGCGTTTTAAAACCTTGAGGGAAAGCCCAGATAGAAGAACTCAAAGAAGACAATATCTACTAATAGTGGACTTGGACCGTTACAGTTAGAGTTACAAAAAAAATCATAAACGAAAGAACAAAAAATTGGGGAGTGGGATTGAAGGGAGGAAGACCAACATGCATGGTCCACAGCTGGGGCGTGTCTTGCTCTTTTTTTTTTTTTTTTTCCATGTATGTATGTTCTTAGATTTGTTCACTTAAGCAAATACACTTTTCCTCATATGAATTTAAGGGCAAACGCCTAAAAGGGTTGTTTTAAAACTCACTTCAAACTCTAAGCGTTAAATGAAACTTTTCAATGTAAGGATATAATTGAAACCAACCCATAGTTAAAGGATAATTTTACAATTTTAGCTTCTAAACCAGTAGAAAGCTCAGTCATATTTATGTTAGTGTTTTTACCATCGCCTTCAGATCTTTCCCTCTAGGTTTTTCACTGAATGAAAGAACCCTTCCGCTATTGTCGATCTTCATAAGCCCAAAATCTGATGCTCGTCTTCAATTCAAAGAAGATAGAAGACATATATATATATAAAGATTATTTCCCTTGAAGTCTAGAGAAATACAGGCTCATAAGAACAGCGAATAACCCAACTGAGTAAAAAAGAATGAAGATAAAATAACTCATAGTATTACAATTCAAGATGAAGGTACCAACCTGCATCTAAAGAACTAATGTGATCCAGCATACCTGTCATCTATTGGGATACAAGAAAGAGTGATGTCTGCACCACTCTGCCGATGATTCTGATGATCAGGAAAAAAAAATTCAATGCTTAAGAAAAGATCTCCGAGAAGAATGAAAAAGAAAGAGAGAAACTTATCTTCTTGCTTACTTGAACGAAGTCCATGTAGTCCATTCGGTACAAGTGATCCCCAGAAAGGATCAACACATCTTCAATTTCCTTGCTTCTCGCATCCTGCACCCAAATAAAATGCGTTCATTTTAATTGCCACGAAATTCATTTTTTAGTTAAAATAAATTGAAAAATAACACTTTTATTCGTTTCTAGAAACTGTTTAACGTGCAGGGTCCTGGTCTCTTGGAGACCTGCCCAAATTGGTAATGGAAGAAGAGGTGGGTAGAGATTTAGATAATAGGTCCATAGATGGAGATTGTCTGGTTCAGTCTCTGGCTCAATGTAAATATATTTTTAACTAGAAATTTTTTAGAGCTAGTTCTGCTCTTAATATAAATATTATATCTGGTCCTCAATAAATAAAATAGTGTAGAAATAGGGAAAAAGAAAAAAAAAAAAAACTCGTCCATGAACATCTCTAGAGTTTTATAAATATGAGATCTTAATGAAGACACTAATAATAAGATTCCTTTGAAATCGTTCTAAAATTTAATAGTAAAATTGAAATTTAAAAAAGTTTTAAAATAAAATTGTTCTATTTCATTTATATAGTATTTTACTAATATCATCTCGACCAAATTTAACTAATTATGCAGAGTGATCATAACTAGACTTTGTGTTTACCATTTCAACGTATAATTAAAAACTAACTTTAATTTTGGGTAGATAGATCGTCAACTTATTTGATATATATTTTTTTTAATTTCAATTTCATATACTTACAAGCCGCTTAATTAAAATTTTTTAGATACTTTTTTAAATTCACCAACCTTTTAAACATTAATTTGAAAGATCATGATTCAATTTTCTCTCTCTTAGCTTTCTAGCTTTGTTCCGGCATAAATCTCTTTATACTCTCCTTACACTTTACAATAATAAATCTCTTTATACTCTCCTTACACTTTACAATAATAATCAGATTGGGTTGCAAAAATCTTTTAAACCAAATCAAAATTTTGAATTGACAGGGAATACTTTAAATAGGATTTACAACTCAACCAGCACTCTATTTTTGGGTTGGGTTGAATTATCAATTTTTTTTTATCTATTTAAAAAATTCTACTTACCTATCTATATTAATAACAAAAATTTCATAAAACTCAAATATCATATATCCACACGTCACAATGCATCATTCACATCAAATATTCTTAATTTTCATAATAATCTTAAAATCATTAACATCAAATATTCTTAATTTTCATAATAATCTTAAAGTATGGTTGGGTTGAATAGTAACTTTATTTTTGTGTTAATTGGGTTGACCAAAAAAAATAAATAAATAACTTACTAAATTTTTTATTTTAAAAAAATTTAACGAACCCAAACCCAAAAAAAAAAAAGAAAAAAAACATTCAAACTAATCTAATCTTTATAGTTTTGGTTGAATAGTCTAGGTGATCAACATTTATAGTTTTTGTTGAATAGTCTAAGTTGATCAGGTTATTGAGGCATCCGAACACCTCCAATAAAATCTAGGAGTACAAGTGTAATCAAACTAACTAAACCAACCAAATCATTCAAATTGGCTAAACCATCAAACTAACGTTTGGTTCAAGTATTGGTTTTAAGTTGGGATATATGAAAATCGTGCACCTATCAATAACATAAGTGTGTTCCCTAGATTTGAATTGAGAGCTTAGTCTATCTATTCTATTCTTGATCCATCCAAAGAAATTCACTCCAAGTTGCAAAAAAAGAAAAAAAGAAAAAAAGAAAAAGAAAAAACTGAAAAAATATCAGACTAATTTTTATGTGTAATTTTCAAATTTTAAATTTTATTTTCTGTTTTTAGTTTTAAACAAATTGGATAAATAAATAATGTACTAACAAAAACGTAAAAGGAAAACTTCTAAAAGAGAATTCATATTCGAGAGAAACCGAATAACGGAAGGACTGATTTAATAACTGAACTCAGAGAAATTAATGGAAAGATCAAAACATCTCAATGTATATAAATATATAGGCAAGTTAGGGTTCTTGGGCGTCCATCCTCCATATCAAATCATGGGAAAGTTCTCTACATTGGTTCAAGTGATCCTTCTTGTTTCTATTGGATATGTCAATGGCGACATGTCTAACGAAACGATTAGGGTTTACGAGCTCAAGAAAGGGAACTTTTCCATGAAATTCACGAACTACGGCGCCTCCATTGTTTCTGTTGTTCTACCAGACAAACATGGAAATCTCTCTGATGTCATTCTCGGGTTCGGTTCAATACAGGATTACCTTAAGCGAAAAGGCAACTTCGGCGCCATTGTTGGTCGAGTTGCCAACAGAATAAGCAATGCTCGATTCACTCTGAATGGAACTGTATACCATTTGGAAGCAAATGATGGGAATAACACCATTCATGGTGGATCCAAAGGATTCAGCCATGTCATTTGGGAGGTAAGCGGATACAATACGGAAGATCCTAATCCTCATATTAATTTCACTTACAGAAGTTTCAATGGAGATGAAGGGTTTCCAGGGGATCTAATCGTCACAGTGAGCTATTGTCTTCTTTCAGAAACAGATTTCACTGTGAAAATGAAAGCGATCACTCTGAATAAGGCAACTCCTGTGAATCTAGCACAACATGCGTATTGGAACCTTGGTGGGCATACTAGTGGAGACATTCTCTCTCACGAGATTGAAATTTTTGGCTCTGCAATCACTCCAGTCGATACTCATATGATTCCTACAGGTGAAATCAGGGCTGTTAATGGAACGCCCTACGATTTTTTGACGCCCCAAATCGTTGGCAACAATATGAACAAATTGGGGAAAGGATTTGATATTTACTATGTGCTGGATGGAATGAAGGGGATGGAAGAGAAAAAAGCTGCTACACTGCGAGAGAGGAAGTCCGGACGAGTAATGGAACTGTGGACAACCGCAGAAGGATTACAGTTTTACACAGGCAATGGGCTGGTGAATGTGACAGGAAAAGGTGGGTTCGTTTATGAACCTCATGCGGGGCTTTGTTTGGAGACTCAAGGATTCCCTAATGCGGTGAACGAACCTAATTTTCCTTCACATATTGTGACGAAAGAAACTCCTTATGAACACTCTATGTTGTTTAAGTTTTCGATTCAAGGATGAATATGCTCTGATTTTGATATAAACAAATCCAAATCATGAGATTCAGTAATTATGGATGAACTGATTCTAATTTATAAATACCTCAAAGAGCCAATGGAACTGTCGTACTGCATCGGCAGTCCCTTGGAACCACTGCTTTCCAGCCTTTCCTGGAGTTTGAGTCGCTGCTAGAACCTGCAACAATAATGACGAGAAATTCGTCGAAATCTTTCACCACTCTGTTTATTCACCATAAAAATTGCAAAACGATATAAATCGATATGAAAAATTAAGAAATTACCTCTACATAACCATCGCCCAAGGTGACTCCGCCACCGAAGTTATAGGCACGAGCGAGATGCCGATTGAGCGATGTAGAGTTGAATTGCGTGAGAATGTAAACCTTGTTGATTCCGCTGTTTATGCAATTGCTCATCGGCACATCGATCAACCTATAAGCTCCACCGATTGGAACCTAAAATTTATGGAGATTTGAAGATAAGACCTAAATCAATTTGATAAGACGCAGAGATTCAAGAAGAGGCAATAATCACCGCTGGCTTTGCTCTCTGTTTCGTGAGCGGGAACAAACGAGTTCCCGCTCCACCTCCGAGTACAATCGCTACCACCGTCCTCGGGTCAGGTTTTTCCATGTTCAGTTCCTTCAACTACATCGAACTATCGTTAAAACCTCTTTCGAATACTAATCGTACGAAGATTCTAAGTTAGAACAAAATTTGAAAGAGGCTTTGCATTAGCTTACCTTGGATTCAGATTCTGCTATATTGGCAAGAAGAGATGACACACGAACTTTCCTTCTGGCATTTGGAATGTAGTTAACGGCATGCTTCCTCTGTTGCAAGGTAAGCTTCTTCCCCATGAGTTCTCCATTACAGAACCTCACCTGCAAGATGGAGCTCCTGATTTTCTGCAATGCCATTGCGCCGTGCAAGTGTGCCGCCGTCGAGAATGATACTCGACCGTCAACGCCGGCTACCATTCTGGTTCAAAGCTTGATAAATGAAGAAGAAGAGGAAGAAGATAGCAATGGAGGTTTGTTCAGTTTATCCATATTGAATTTCTTCCACCAATCTATATATTCTTTTAATGGAAAGTTTATTTTAAAAAATAAAATAAAAATCTAATGGTTGCCTTTTGATCAAGATGATGAGGTGGCCCATGCCCCATTTTTGTCTTACTCAAAATTAATAAAGTTTTTTTTTATAAAAAAAAATAGTTTTAAAAAAATGAACGTGATGATGTCACAGTTGTGCACGAGATTGTGTGACACTTACTCTCATTCACTGAGTGAGTTAGCTAATTTGAATTCGTGTTTACTCTCATCATCACTAAGTGAGTTAGCTAATTTGAATTCGTGTTTACTCTCATCACTAAGTGAGTTAGCTAATTTGAATTCGTGTCGCCTTCGTCTAAACGACGTATACTTAAGCCTCTAGTTCAGACATTTACAAGTGATTGTGTGACACTCACTCTTACCACTGAGCAAATTAGTTAAATTCGTGTCGCTTTCGTCTAGACAATGTATGCATAACCCTCTAGCACGAGACATTTACAAGTGATTGTGTGGCACTCACTCTCACCATTGAGTGAGTTAACTAATTTGAATTCGTGTCGTCTTCGCCCAAACGACGTATATCTAAGCCTCTAGCTCGGGACGTTTACAAGTGATTGTCTGACACTCAATCTCACCACCGAGTGAGTTAGCTAAATGCGTGTTGCTTTCGTCCAGACAACGCATACCTAAGTCTCTAGCTTTGAGAACAAAGTTTTAGAAAATAGGGTTGAGAGATTTTGGAAAGAGCGTTTGAAAGTAATAATAAAAGTTAAAGCAAATTATAATACAACGGCTTCAATAACATATAACTCGATGCGTATAGATATGATTTTATCAAAACGTCTCCATGGGGCAACAAGTCATGAACAACATAACCGTGATAGGTGGGACCTCTAAAAGGCGCACCAAACACAGTCGTTGGACGTTCCTGCCGGTCCCAGTGACCACTGAAGTAAGCTTCTCATCCACGCTGACAAAATGGCTCATCTAACAACCTACCGAGAGCCTACGAACTTCCTTCTTCCACCTCTTTCTTTGCAATTTCGACCTCTTTTCTGCTTCTGCAACAATGGCGAAAGGCCATCTCTGTTTTCTTCTCCCATTGCTACTTGCTTCCATCTTCGTCTCCAATCACCCTGTCAGATGCGACGGTAATGCCTTCTTTCTCTCTCACTCCCTATAATTGATTCTTTAATCGACATTCGAGGACACCTAGATTATTTTCTTGAATTTAGATCTCGATTTATCATGCATTGTCATTTGAGATCTCGGTTCGTCCGTAATTGTTTAGATCCTGGGATTTTGTGTTCTTTGGGAGGTTTTGTTTGATCATTGGCAGCCATTTCTGTAGTTTTTCATAATTTTCGACCTCTTCTTGTTCTGGCTTAGGCGGATTCGCTCGAGTTAAGTAATCTCTTGCATTTGTTCTTCTAATTGCTTCTCTCTTTATAGTAATTGAGATAGAGAATCACTGGAGAGATTGTGTAAACTGAGTAATCTCATTGATTTCTCAATTTCTTCTCAGTATAAGCCTACTCATCGATATTTGCGTATAATGTGAGCTGTCTTCACATTCCCCTTGTCTGTTTGTTCTTTCATCTGTTTCAGTGGAAGTGGTTTTCTGCTCTGTATGGAGATCACTACGGGTTTAGATGGCCGTTTTAGGATTGGTAGTCTGGTTTATGAAATCAATTAGGACACCATGGCTGTCTACTTTCTAGGGGTAACGGTGCAAGTCCACCGCTAGCCGATATTGTCTTCTTTAAATTTTCCCTTTCGGGCTTTTCAAGGTTTTTAAAACGCGTCTATTAGGGAGAGGTTTTCACACCCTTGTAAAGGGTGTTTCGTTCTCCTCCCTAACTGACGTGGGATCTCACAATCCACACCCTTTGAGGCCCATTGTCCTTGTTGGCACTCGTTCCTTTCTCCAATCAATGTGAGACCCCCCAAATCTACCTCCTTTCGGGGTCCAGCGTTCTTGCTGACACTCCGTCTCGTGTCCACCCCTTCAAGGCTCAATCTCCTCGCTGCCCACCTCTAGCAGATATTGTCCTCTTTGGACTTTCCCTAAAGTTTTTAAAACACATATGGGAGAAGTTTTCACACGGGTGTTTCATTCTCCTTCCCAATCGATGTGGGATCTCACAATTCATCCCCTTTGGGGCCAGCGTCTTCGTTAGCACTCGTTCCCTTCTCCAATTGATGTGGGACCCTCCAAATCCACCCCCCTTCGTGGTCCAGCGTCCTTGCTGGTACACCGCCTCATGTCCACCCCCTTTGAAGCTCAACCTCCTCGCTGGCACATCGTCCGGTGTCTGGCTCTGATACCATTTGTAACGGCTCAAGCCCACCGCTAACAGATATTGTCCTTTTTGGACTTTCCTTTTCAGGCTTCCCCTCAAGGTTTTTAAAACGTGTCTGCTAGACAGAGGTTTCCACACCCTTATAAAAGGTGTTTCATTCTTCTCTCCCAACCGATATGGGTTCTCACACTAGGAGTGTTAGTTTACAACGAGCTCTAAACATATCTCATAGTGATATTGAGTTTCACTCAAAAAGCTAGGTACCAATATGTCGTAAATTATCCCGAAGAATCGGTGGATTCATGAACATTTTTAGTACATTTCCCTCGATCATGCACCTATTGTTCATTATTTGGTTGCTTTCTTAGATAGATTTCTGGGAATGCTCTCTCTGGAAGTGTTCAGAAAATCAATAAGTTTGATTTTCAATATCTTTTGTACATATTTTTGACGCCATGAAATTCCTACAGATGATGATCTTCATAGAGGTATCAACAGATATCGTGCATCCTTGAACTTGCCAGCGCTGGTCGAGAATGACAACGCGGAGTGCCTTGCTGATGAAATAGCTGAGAAATTCAAGAATCAACCTTGTACGAACACCACAGGTTCCAACACAATATCAGGCACTGAACCTCAGTTTGCTGACTTTCCAAACTTATTAGCCAAATGCCATTTGAATGTCTCCAACACAAGAGATGGAACCATAATGCCTGCCTGTGTTCCGAACCGTGTCGCTGATCTTGTTCTCACAAACTTCACGAAATCTCAGTACTCAGGTAAACTTAACGATACCAAGTACATGGGAATCGGCATCGGTACTGAAGACGATTGGGTTGTCGTTATTCTTACCACCAGCACAGCAGAAGGAAGTTTTGCGTCAGCAGTAGCATCAAAGAACACAGCCACTCTGGTTTCTCAGATTGGTTTGTTCTCTCAGTTGCTGTTCTTGATGCTGTCCTCTGTCTTACTGTTGTAGAACAAGAGAGGATTTCCTTGCTTTGATCTTATTCTATAGAGACTATAATATGTTATATTGTTTAAGAAATTTTCCTGCTCATCTATGTGTTTATAGTTTTGTTATGTATGAAAAAGTTTCATCTTTACACGAAATTGAGGAAGTGAACGAAAGACAGAAAGAACGTCTGGATTTTCACACGACACTTTTGAAAACTAAACTATCACTTTTGAAAAGTTTAAAGTTCGTTTCATTAAATATATTATGAGATCCCAACAGAACGTGTTTTGAAACCTTGAGGGAAAGCTTAGAAGGGAAACCTCGAGGGAAAGCTTAGAAGGGAAAGCTCAAAAATGACAATATTGAAACATTGAGGGAAAGCTTAGAAGGGAAAGTCCAAAGAGGACAATATCGGTAGGTTTGAGCTGTTACAAATAGTATTAGAGCCAGACACCGGGCGGTGTACCAGTGAGGACGTTGAGTCCGAAGGAGAGTGGACACGGTGGTATGCCAACGAGGATGATGGACCTCAAGGGAGGTGGATTGTGAGATCCCACATCAATTGGAAAGAGGAACGAAATGTTCTTTATAAGGGTGTTGAAACCTCTCCTTAGGAGACGTGTTTTAAAACCTCGAGGGGAAGCCCAGAAAGAAAAACTCAAAGAGAACAATATCTGGTAGTGGTGGGCTTAGTTTGTTCTCTCATGAATGAAATCGACACAAAATTCAATTATTGCGGGTAATGTTATTGAACTTCATACCATACCATGCATGACACTGAATAAGAAATAATATACTCTGTTTTCCTTCTTACATTGCAGAAATCCAATTGGGACCTTCTTAAAATCTTTAGATATTGCTTAGAAAAACACTTAAACTTAAGCACCCTTTAATCTTGTATTGGTTACAAAGAGATACCTTCTAAGTGCAATCAATATGATCCAAGAGGTCTTTGCAACCTTCTCCTTTATCATCAAAAGCAACGCAGAGCTCAACACAGTCTTCAGTATTTGTGCTTGTAATCCTTTGAAGAATCCCAGCAAGCCTTCTCTTTTCCAGATCGTATTAAGAGCACCCGACACGGTTTTCTTATCGCCGTGCTGTTTGTCTTCGTTCCTTTCTTCATCCGATTCTGCAGCCTGGATCACGACCTTACACCTGTATGCAAACCGATATACTTGATTTTCGACGCATTTAAGAACAGTGTGGATTCATAACAGGATATGTCTTGATTCTTCACCTGATAGCAGGGTATGTCAAGATTGTAGCAACACATTTCGAGAGGGCGCCAAGCACGAAAGCTGAGAAGGCCGAGAGAGCTTCCGGGGACGACTCGATACCCGATGCACGTGTCAGCTGAGTCCTGAGTAACCTTTGTTTCAGTTGATCAAACACGGTGTACTGTGATATGCATACATTGGAGCAAAGATCTCTTAGAAGTATGCAGCAGTAATTGCATTAAACGAGATCTACATCAAAACCAACCAATCCCAGGTACCTGAATTGATGGGTTTGATGTCAAAAGAAGGGATATTCCGAGACCATCAAACGCTTCACTCCAAGTACCCTCGGCGAGCGTCTTCCAAAATCCTTTGGACTTCCCGAACTCGCTTGTCTGCATACGAGACGATGCTGTATCCAAAGGCTGAAATGATAAATGGACCAAGATTTCTTGCTCAGAACACAATAAACATAATTCACTGGAAGATCTGTAATCAAGGAAGCTATTGAATATTGTAC